CTACTCTCTCTCTCTCTCTCTCTCTCTCTCTCTCTCTCTCTCTCTCTCTCTCTCTTCTTCTCTCTCTCTCTCTCTCTCTCTCTCTCTCTCTCTCTCTCTCTCTCTCTCTCTCTCTCTCTCTCTCTTATCGACGATGGTAAGCGGCGAAGCTCCCCGAGGTCGAGGATAAACGGCACACGTTTACGGCTATCTATGTTAAATTGCGTCACGAGGAGGAGGAGTCGTCGCCGATAATTAGAAAGTAATCGCGCCGTGGCTTTTCGCGTGCCCGCTTGTCAAGGCAGTCTCCCGGCGGATAGACTATTATCTCGAAAATTGCAGGGTGTGTTGCATCTACCCTCCGCATCGGAGCCTCGCCTATGCCCTTGCAACGACGACGTTGATTAATATCAACAAATTCCTCCGCGCATTCGTATGATTACGCTCGTGGGGTGATATCCACGGTTATATTGGTTAATGCCCAAGCCGTTTGCCGCTTGACGTGCGATGACGCGCCGAACATAATATTACGGCGGACGAAGATTGCGGCGATGTGAATATCGCAAGCAACGTCTCACGGCGTTTGATAATATTAAAGCCGATCTATATTCACCGACGCGCAACATTTTTCGCTCCCGTTGATCCGAGCTTCTCGGGCGCGAGCGCGGTAACGAGTCGCACTATGATCATCTTCAAAATTGCCGGGTGTCCCTACGTCGTGCCGAGATGCTGTCGCGTTTCGCTTGTTATGGTACTTCAAGAAGCACGATGGTCTTGATCGTGCTTCCAACGAAGGCGCTATAATGTGAGTTTCGATGCTGCACAATGTAAATGATGATCGTAGCGCCCGCGTGCATAATAAAATTGATGCACTGAAAAACGCAGGAAATATTAATTTAATTTATAACAAGATTATTTACAATACCGACAACTTTATAACGTAACTTGTATATCTTTTTTAATAAAATAATTGATCCGAAAATAATTTCTTCAAAATATGCCCCAATAAAATGTTTTATTTTATCGATTTGTTAGAACGCCTCGGTGCATTGCGTCCATTTAGCCTACTCGCTGCACTCGACACGACGTTTTCTCCCAACCAAAGTTATGCATATTAATTGTAGTCTCACACTGTTATGTGGTTGCACCGCATTTAGATGTAATAAATGCAGTATCTTGAGCAACTTGCAAGAAATAACGATGTTGCATCAGAGAGATCATGCAAAAAAGAAGTAAAATAACGTGTCGCAAATCCGCTCTTTAAGTTGGTGAATTTACTATGACTAAGGCGATAAACCGCGGGACACGTTTGCCTACAGGAAAGGCTCAGAACCCGACGTGAATTATGCAAGAGCTCGTCAACACTTTGTTCTTACCATTGGCAATTTTCTTCGCGAAAGCGAAACAAATCGATGCATTGCCGGCGTACCTTACGCCTACATATCCTCTTCGCGCGCGTACATCAAGGGGCAAAAGTACGCTTGGAAAGTGCGTATTCGCGTCCACGCGTGTAATTTATAATTGGTTAACAGTAGTAACCGGATAGTAATAGATTTGTGGATAATAGAGGAAAAAAATTGACTATACCGCTGTGCCGATAATGACATAACGAAAGATGCATTTGCGACATGCATTTCAAAGAAAGAAAAAAAAAATACAAATCCATTTATTACATGCCTTAAAAATAGAAGAGTTTTGTAGTATAATGAAATATTTATTAATAAAGTTAACAAATTCTTCATTATTAATGTTGCAATGTGCGTGCACTCGAGATATCATCGTCAGTGCAGTGCAGAAAAAAGCGTTAAGTAGAAACATCACTCTCTAGTCAGCCCGACGTAGGCCGATCGTTCTCTATTGTTGATGCAAATTTAACGCGTGTTCTATAGTATTTTTACAACTCTTTCATTTCTTGATATAATACGCACATAAATTTGTATACATATGCATTCTCTCGCTTGCCGTGCGTATTTTACGAAGCTTCTATCATCTCTTTAAGAAGCACCTCGTCCAAACGGGATCCGCGGCCCTCGAGTGAAACAGATTTTTCTCTCCTCCCGCCTGTTACTCTTTCTCACCGAACGAAGAAACGCAGCTAGGTAGCCAAGTGTCCGCGATAACATATCTGCGCGTATGTAAAACTACGCGGATGAGACCGTCGGGCGCGCAAGGCTCACAGTAGTGTATGCAACAGTGATATTGCAAGGAACTCGCGCGCACTTTGTAGATGAGCGTGCATACGCTGTGTATGCACGCGCGGGTGTCTGCGTGCGCCGGCGTGTATACGTACATAGAAACGCGTTTGTGCGTGGGCGGAGACCAGTAGCCGGCTCGCCGCACGGCCGGTTGATCGGGCTGTTGGACCGTGACGTGCCAACCACTACCACTTTATTATTACTACTGCACTCCCGCTAGTAGTGCTTTGCGTTCGGCCGTGCACTTCTCGCGATCTACGGGAGAGTCTCCTCGTCTTACCGCGCGGACGACTCACCGTGAGTAGCGTACCGCGTCTAGATAACACGCGCACACGCGCACGCTTGTATGCGTGTGTGCGTGTCGCTTGCAACGCGCTCAAGATTGCCCCGAGTTTATTACACTTGCCCCGATGAAATTGTGCATGCGCCGTTCGTTACGCATTTACCTCTACCCAACCATCGGCCAGCAGCAGGAAAGTGCTCAGCGCACTGCTGGAGAAACTAGCGCAGACGAAGCGGAAAGCACGACGCATAGAAGATCATTGAATTACGTCGGAAAAATAGATTTTCATTTCAAAACAAGAGTTTTAACATTTCACGAAGGCATGAAATGTAAAATAATATAAATTCTTCGATTTATATATACTTATATAAATCATATATAAATAATATGTCCATCTGTATGAAAACAAAATTATCTTGGTGGCTTTAAGAAAATCAAATACAAGACTTTGTGACTGATTTTCCTTAATTAATTTAAAGATTTTATACGGTTCTTTATTTAGAAGCGATAGAAAATGCAATATAGAACAGTGACGAATGGTAAAGCTTTAAGTCTCTCTCTCTCTGTGTTGTTCATCTTCCGCAGCAATCGGAACCCGTACTGTTTGTCTTGCCTTTACGATCTAATCTTTTCTTCTACTCTCACCTTCGATTGGCGCGATCGCGTTTGCTCATTTACGGGATCGAGGGAAGCAATTCATCCCGCGGTCTTCCGATACACCTCCGCGAGAGCAAACGAGCGAGCGAGCGAGCGAGCGCTGGTGATACCCGTCGACCGGTTTTTCGTCGAGGATGCACAGCCGCGTATAAAATTGCGCGAGTCGAGAAGAGAGGAAAGCAGGGGCGGCTGCCACCGATCCAGAAGCAGCTGCAA